TAAATATTGATAGGTGTAACTCACTCACACAAAATCTCTTTGGGATTCTCAGTGTTTTGTTTGTTTGTTTGTTTGTTTGTTTGTTTTGTTTTTTGAGACAGAGTCTCACTCACTCTGTCACCCAGGCTGGAATGCGGTGGTGCAATCTCGGCTCTCTGCAACCTCTCCCTCCCTGGTTCAAGTGATTCTTGTGCCTCAGCCTCCCAAGTAGCTGGGACTACAGGCATGTGTCACTACCCTCTGGCTAATTTTTGTTTTTATTTTTGTTTTGTAGAGACGAGTTTTCACCATGTTGGCCAGGCTGGTCTTGAACTCCTGTTCTCAAGTGATCTGCCTGCCTCAGCCTCCCAAAATGCTGGGATTACAGGCATGAGCCACCATGCCTGGCTGGTTCTCAATGATTTTTAAAAGGGCAGAGGGGTCCCCAGAACGACTGTGATGTGACGTCAAGCAGGAAGGGATGCATTTTTGATGATACCATCCCCAAGTAGCAAAGGCTGTTTTTAAAGAACCATTTATAATGTTTGCTCACAAAGGAGTCCTTTTAAGATTTGGATTTTTTTCCCATTAAGCTTTCCACATTTTGGTCAAGAATGTAGGTGGGTTGATTAGTTTTTCATCTGTCCTGAATTTTCTTCTAGCTGCTGTCAAGTCAGTGCTGCAGCAATTCGTGTGATAGCAAGAGTGGGGGGCATCCTCGGGCTTTGCAGAGCATGCAAAGAACTCTGCAATAGTCACAAACAAGCCCTAGCTTATTTGTTACTGAGTCAGGTTTTTATTATTAAGATCTTCTATCTTATTTGGACTCTGTCATCTTGGTAAATGCTTTATTATAGCTTGTAGGATGGTCTTGAATACAGATAACTTTATGGAAAAACATATTGTTGGATTGAGGCCAGTAATTCTTAAGGTGGACTCAATTCAAATGTAGATGGGCTTTTTTCGTTGTTTGTAAGGGCTGTGCTATGGAAAGCTCTTGCTTTGTGTAGCGTACATCAGTTTGAATGCAAAATGACATGATGGGGGGAAAATATGTAGTCAGGTTGTTAACAAGCCAACAGTGAAACCTAAGAGCATATCCTCTTAGCAAGTTTTCAAGGTGGCACCTATGACTGCTGAAAATAAGCAAGGCCTTGGAGATGATGGGAAATCATACAGGGAGAGGGCTTTTTTTTTTTTTTTTTAGTTGGAGAGTTGGAGTTTTGCTCTTTTTTCCCAGGCTGGAGTGCAATGGTGCGATCTCAGCTCATTGCAACCTCCATCTCTCGGGCTCAAGTGATTCTCCTGCCTCAGCCTCCCAAGTAGCTGGGATTATAGGTGTGTGCCACCATGCCTGGCTAATTTTGTATTTTTAGTAGAGACAGGGTTTCACCATCTTGGCCAGGCTGGTCTCAAACCCCTGCCCTCAAGGGATCTGCCCACCTCAGCCTTCCAAAGTGCTGGAATTATGGGTGTGAGCCACTGCACCCAGCTGGGAGAGGGCTTTTAAATAGTGGGAAGGGTGTTTATGTTTTTGTTTTTTGTGTTTTGAGACAGGGTCTTGCTTTGATGCCCAGGCTGAAGTGCAGTAGCCTGATCATGGCTCACTGCAGCCTTGAACTCCTGGGCTCAAGTGATTCTCATGCCTCAGCCTCCCTAGTAGCTGGGACTACAAACATGTGCCATGATGCCCTGCTAATTGTTTATCATTAAAAATATATATATATGATTGCTGTGAAACTAGATCCACAAAGGGTTACTGATAAGCAGAGGGCTTTAAAGAAGTCTTGCTCTCAATTTGTAAGAATGATTTGTAATCATAGCTTGAACTGTGTGTATATTTGTTCTCTGAAGTAGTTTAAAGTGATCTGCAGTCTTATTTACATGATTAGCTTACTTGATGGCCCTTGACTTTATAGTTAACATAAATAATCTAGTATTTCTTAAAGTGAAATCTAGGGGTTTATGGAATATATATATATTGAGAATCAACTTTAAATATAAAAAAATTATTAGGGCCGGGCACGGTGGCTCAAGCCTGTAATCCCAGCACTTTGGGAGGCCGAGGCGGGTGGATCACGAGGTCAAGAGATCGAGACCATCCTGGTCAACATGGTGAAACCCCGTCTCTACTAAAAATACAAAAAATTAGCTGGGCATGGTGGTGTGTGCCTGTAATCCCAGCTACTCAGGAGGCTGAGGCAGGAGAATTGCTTGAACCCAGGAGGCGGAGGTTGCGGTGAGCCAAGATCGTGCCATTGCACTCCAGCCTGGGTAACAAGAGTGAAACTCCGTCTCCAAAAAAAAAAAAAAAAAAATTAGATATAAAGACAAACATTTTGCACTGATTATTTTTTATTTAATTTTTTGCGATGAAGTTTCATTCTGTTGCCCATGCTGGAGTGCAGCGGTGTGATCTCAGCTCATTGCAACCTCCACCTCCCAGGTTCAAGCAATTCTCCCACCTCCCTCAGCCTCCCAAGTAGCTGGGATTACAGGTGCCAGCCACCATGCCTGGCTAATTTTGTATTTTTAGTAGAGATGGGGTTTCACCATGTTGGCCAGGCTGGTCTCGAACTCCTGGCCTCAGGTGGTCCACCCACCTGAGGTGCTGGAATTACCGACATGAGCCACCTTGCCTGGCCAAAAGTTCAATCATATCTCAGTAAAGTGGTTTAAAAGAGAAAAAGGCTGACCGGAGGCGGTGGCTCATACTTGTAATCCCAGCACTTTGGGAGGCCAAGGCAGAGGATCGCTTGAGCCCAGGAATTTGAGACCAGCCTGCATATCATAGTGAGACCTCCTCTCTACAAAAAATACAAAAATTAGCCAGGGCATGGTGGCGGGTTACTCAGGAGGATGAAGTGGGAAGATCACTTGAGCCTGGGAGGCAGTAGCAAGCTGAGATGGCACTACTGCACTCCAGCCTGGGTGAAAGAGCACAACTCCATCTCAAAACAAACAAACAAAAAACAGTCTGACGTAAGACATTGAATGTACACTTAGATTGTACAAGCATGTGATAGGAGTAAATTCTAGCTTTATATATCTATTTGTGTGTGTGTGTGTGTGTGTGTGTGTGAAACTGGAGTCTCTGTTGCCCAGGCTGGAGTGCTGTGGCGTGATCTTGGTTCTGCCCTCGGGTTCAAGTGATTCTCCTGTCTCAGCCTCCCTAGTAGCTGGGACTACAGGCACCTGCCACCACGCCTGGCTAACTTTTTTGTGTTTCCAGTAGAGATGGAGTTTCCCCATGTTGGCCAGGCTGGTCTCGAACTCCTGACCTCAGGTGATTCACCTGCTTCAGCCTCCCAAAGTGCTGGGATGATAGGCGTGAGTCACCCCGCGCCCGGCCTAGCTTTATATTTTTATATTTGAGTTGGCACTTCCCCATTTTGCATGATCCTGACTGAAATTAAGAAACTAGATTCTATCTGCGTGTTCTAGGCAAATGACTAAAACTTGAAATATTTGGGGGCCTGTCTCTGTGAATTCCCTTTGCTGGGGCTAGAACCCTCATCTATGACCGTTACCTCTCAGGAGGCAGCAAATTTTCCATGGAGAATAATTCCATTTCCACTGAAATTCTCTCTTCCCCGTGATGTGCTCATGCCCTCTCCGGCTCACGGCCACGGTCCTTTCCGGGCTCTGCTTCCTGGGCCAGGCCCTCTTCGCTAATTCTGCGCAGCACTGCCGTTGTCTTTGGCATTCTGATCCTCGGCTGTTGCTTCAGATCCACCTACTCACTCGCTGCCCTCCTTGAGTTCTGAATCGTTCTGTGTTTCCAGCTCTCTTCTGGACATGCCAGTCCCTCATTCAACATGTCAGAACGACATTTAATTTTCACCCCAAGCCGTGGCTCTTTCTTATCTGGATCTTCTGTTTAATCCCAGGAAGCAGAACCTGAAAGTCAATCTGGAATCCTCCCTCTCCATCATCCCCTTCTGCCAGCCTCCACATCCGATCAGCCACTCACACACTAGTTGATTATGTTTGTTAAATGTCCCTAAAATTCTTCCCTTCTGTGCCTGTTTTGTCTCATCTGGACTGTTGGAGCCATTTCCTGGCTTCCTCTTCCAAGTCCTACTGTGCCTGCTGGAGAGTCTAAACTCCCAAGTTCAGCCTTCAATGCTTTGGGTGATCTATCCCTGGGCTAGCTAGTTTCCGTCCTTCACCAGCTCATTTCCTTGTGCCCCACCCATCCCCACCTCGCCCTCAAGCAGCACAAATCCACCTGATTCTTGGATATTTCCATGTCTTTGTATTAGCTTTTGCTAGCCTACCTGTCCCCTCTCATTCTTTATTGGAGGGGGAACAGAATCATGCTCTTACACCCAGGCTGGAGTGCAGTGGTACAACAGCATGCCCCGATAATTTTTAAAAATTTTTTTGTAGAGATGGGGGTCTCACTGTGTTACCCAGGCTCCCTCTCATTCTTCCAGACTATAAACCCCCAGGCACAGTGCAAGTTTAGGCTGTATTTTTGTTCATTTTGGTTCTCCAGCTTCAGGCAGTGTTCCTGGCTCACAATGTGGGCTTGATGTATGTTTGAAAGAATAAAATCCATGTGTTTTACTTTAATCACAAGAAGAAAGCAAAAGTTTGTGACTCTACTTTTCTAGTTCCCAGGGTGCAATTCAGTCAGCTGTTTTGAATGATTATCCAGAGATAACAGTTAAGGTGCCAACCGTGTGTGGGTGTGTTTGTGTGTGTGTGTGACCTGTCAGTTTCTGGTATCTGGGAATGACATTTTTCTTTGCACTGGGACATCAATTGTATCTAAAAACTATGTTTCTAAAAGGAATAGGAAATATGAATGAATAGGTCAGAGTTTACTACTCCAGGCAGTTTTCCAACCGTATTTGGTAATGTTGATTTAAAATGGCTCAACGAAAAAGCACCCCAAGTATAATCATGAAAAATGCTAGTACTACTTTGTATGTAGCAATATATTGTTAAGAGAATTTTCATTGAAATTATGTTAATCACAGGGAAAGACTAAAACTTCTCTCTTGTTTTAACAGGATCAGTTTGACAACTTAGAAAAACACACACAGTGGGGAATTGATATTCTGGAGAAATATATCAAATTTGTGAAAGAGAGGACAGAGATTGAACTCAGCTATGCAAAGCAACTCAGGTAAGTTGATATTGAAAAACCTTATTTGTTAACTGCAAAATGATGTCAGGATAATGTATATTCTCATTTTATAGTATAAATGTATCATATTTTAAATATTTTTCCTTTTATGTAAGGTAGTATTTCAATAGAAGTGATTGTTTTTCAAACGGAAAATTAATTTTCATAGAACATTAAAAGTAAAAACTAAGTTACAGCTTTAAGGCCCAGCTTTTTTCAACAGGATATTTGCTGAGTTTCGTAGCAGCTTGTTTTTCAGTAAACTTTTTATTGAAATATATTAATAACATATGTACAGAGAAGTACACAAATCATAAGTGTGCAGCTCCATGAATTTTGACAGGGTGAACACACTCATGTAACCGGGCACCCAGGTCAAGAAACAGAAAGACCAGCCCAGGAGGCCACCCTGTCCCCTTCCAGCTCCCCACTCTCCCCACAACAATAACCACTCTCCTGACTTCTAATCACATGGATTCGTAGTGCCCACTTTGGAACTTTACGTGTTTGTAATCATTTGGTATGCATTCTTGTGTATCTGGCTTCTTTTGTTCCACATTACGTTTGTGAGATTCACCATGTGGTAGCATGTGGTGGGAGTCTGCTATTTTCATTGCCGTGGAGTATTTTGGTCTAGGAATGCACCAGAACTCATCCATTCTGCTGTTACTAGGCGATTTGGTTGTTTCCAGTTTAGGCATATAATGAGTAGCACTCCAACGAGCATTACTGTACAAAACTTTTTGTACGTACATATCTGAACACATTTCCTAGGATCTACCTAGGATTCGAATTGCAAGATCTCAGGCTACTCGTATGCTTCGCTTTCGCGGATAGGGTTAAACCATTTTCCAAGGTGCTTGTACTAATTCACACTCCCTCCAGTAATGTGTTGAGGGGGCCTATGGAACAGTATTTTAAAAGTACTTCGGATTGGGTGCAGTGGCTCACGCCTGTCATCCCAGCACTTTGGGAGGCAGAGCTAGGCAGATTGCCTGAGGTCAAGAGTTCGAGATCAGCCTGGCCAACATGGTGAAATCTCATCTCTACTCAAAATACAAAAATTAGCCAGGCGTGGTGGTGCATGCCTGTAATCAGCTGCTGCTTGGGAGGCTGAGGCATGAGAATTGCTTGAACCCAGGAGGCCAGAGGTTGCAGTGAGCTGAGATTGTGCCACTGCACGAGATCACCAACCTGGGTGACAGAGTGAGACGTCATCTCAAAAAAAAAAAATGTACTTTGGGGCTGGTTGTGGTGGCTGACACCTGCAATCCAAGTACTTTGGGAGGCCAATGAGGGAGGATTTCTTGAGCCCAGAGAGTTCAAGACCAGCCTGGGCAACATAGTGAGACCCCCATCTCTATTTTTTTTTTTAAGTACTTTGGATCTCCTTACATCTTTAATGATGAGATTATCCAAGAAATTTGTGTTTTTATAGAGTATATTTAAAAGTTCTTGGTAGAACTAAGCTTGAACTTGAAGTGGCATACAAAATCTTTTTAATGATTTCTTGTTGTGTAGTTGCAGTTGAATTGGTTTGTGAATATTGTTTTAAGGCTTGTTAAAGAGCTAGATGATTTTGATTTAGAAACATTTAGTTTTCTTTTCCTTTTTTTGAGCCAAGTCTCACTGTGTCACCCAGGCTAGAGTGCAGTGGTGTGATCTCAGCTCACTGCAATCTCCACCTCCCAGGTTCGAGTGATTCTCCTGCTTCAGCCTTCCAAGTAGCTGGGATTACAGGTGTGTGCCACCATGCCCAGCTAATTTTTGTATTTTTAGTAGAGACAGGGTTTCACCATGTTGGCCAGGCTGGTCTCGAACTCCTGACCTCAGGTGATCCACCTGCCTCAGCCACCCAAAGTGGTGGGATTACAGACATGAGCCACTGTGCCCGGCCCCCCCTTTTTTTTTTTTTTTTAAACTTCCTTAAAGCTCCCTCACCATTGAATTTTAATCCAAAGAGCATCTGTATAAGAGATGTGTGTTCATCTAGGGTTTCTGTTATTGTTTCAGCAAGCTGGGGTTACAGTTGGGAGCCACTGCGCCTGACCTCAGATTTTGTTTTCATTGAGTGAATAACATGTAAAACATTGCACAAGGAAATAATTTTTCTTTTTTTTTGAGACAGAGTTTCACTCTTGTTACCCAGGCTGGAGTGCAATGGCACGATCTCGGCTCACCGCAACCTCCGCCTCCTGGGTTCAGGCAATTCTCCTGCCTAAGCCTCCTGAGTAGCTGGGATTACAGGCATGCGCCACCATGCCCAGCTAGTTTTTTTGTATTTTTAGTAGAGACGGGGTTTCACCATGTTGACCAGGATGGTCTCGATCTCTTGACCTCGTGATCCACCCACCTCGGCCTCCCAAAGTACAGGCTTGAGCCACCGCACCCGGCCGGAAATAATTTTTCTAAGTGGAGAATCCAGATCAGTGTCTAGCGCCCTGAGTGCGTATCAGCTTGGTAAACACTTCAGGGCTTTTCAAACTGAAAGTAGGAATAGAACGTGGTCTGTTTCACGTTGATTATTTGAATATTGTACTGTTAGTCAAGCAGTGTTATCTTTCGTGTGAAAATGGGCTACGGGTGAGCTCTTGAGAGGGCTCCTGGTGTTCTTCCCATCGCAGTCTCCCTTGCTGGCCCCTCTTCTTCCCCTGCCTGTTCAGGGGAAGAACACCAGGAGGACTGAGAAGCAGGAGCCGGGGATAGTCCCAGTTACTCAAGAGGCCTGGTGGTGGGTGCCTGTAATCCCAGCTACTCGGGAGGCTGAGGTAGGAGAATCACTTGAACCCAGGAGGCAGAGGCTGCAGTGAGTCGAGATTGTGCCACTGCACTCCAGCCCAGGTAACAGAGCAAGACTCCATCTCAAAAACAAACAGACTGGGTGTGGGGGCTCATGCCTGTAATCCCAGCACTTTGGGAGGCCAAAGCAGGCAGATCACCTGAGGTCGGGAGTTGAAGACCAGCCTGACCAACATGGAGAAACTTTGTCTCTGCTAAAAATACAAAATTGGCCGGGCATAGTGGCACGTGCCTATAGTCCCAGCTACTCAGGGGGGCTGAGGCAGGAGAATCGCTTGAACCTGGGAGGTGGATGTTACGCCATTGCACTGCAGCCTGGACAACAAGAGTGAAACTTCATCTCAAAACAAACAAACAAACAAACAACAACGACAACAACAAACCCTGGCGTCATCGTCTCTGGCTCCCTTTTTTCTCTCACACTCCCCAGTCCAAGCCATCAGGAAATCCTGGCTACTCTACAGATTCATCCAGGATCTGACACTTGTTACTACCTCCACTGCTGCCACTGTGGTCCATGTCACATGGCCCATGTGGTCCATTAATCTTTTGCCTGGTTATTATGAGTCTACTAACTCGTTTCCCTTATTCTACCTGTATTCCCTATTCCCTGATTTCTACAAAGCAGCCAGATGACAGTACTCCTCTGTTCAAAATTCCAATGCATCTCCATTTCATTCTGAGTAAATCCAAAAACCTCACAGTGAATGTCCTACAAAACACTGTATAATCTGGTTCCCACACCTTCGTGACATGTTTTAACTCGCTTCCTCCTTCTCTATGCTGTAAACATTCAGAGGCCTCCTTCCTGTTTCTTGTACTTGCCAGGCATACCCTCACCGGAAAGGCATTGCTCTGACCCTTCCATGTGGATATCACCTCTGTGTTCTTCCCCAGCTCCCTGTAGCTGACTCCCTCTCCTCCTTCCAGTACCTGCCTAGTGAGGCCTGCCTCATCCCCTAGTTCACTTAGCCTGCTTTGCTTTCCACTTTTCCTGTATTACTGGTAACGTTCTCCCATTTTATATAATTTTTTCATTTATTGATTTTGAAAATTGACAAAATATCCTTTTCTATATTATTTGTATAAAATTGTATGGATTTATGGTGTACAAGATGATGCTTTGAAATATGTAACACTGCAGAATGCCCAAATCGGGTTAATTAACATACGCATTACTGCACAAACTTATTATTTTTTTTTTGAGGTAAGAACATTCACTCTTGTTACCCAGGCTGGAGTGCAATGGCATGATCTTGGCTCACCGCAACCTCCGCCTCCTGAGTTCAAGCAATTCTCCTACCTCAGCCTCCTGAGTAGCTAGGACTATAGGCGTGCGCCACCATGCCCAGCTCATTTTTGTATTTTTAGCAGAGACGGGGTTTCACCTTGTTGACCAGGATGGTCTCGATCTCTTGACCTCGTGATCCACCCGCCTCCACCTCCCAAAGTGCTGGGATTACAGGCTTGAGCCACCACGCCCAGCCCCCAAGAACATTAAAATCTACTCTTCTAACAATTTAGCAGTTTATCTCCTTCCTTCTCTCCCCTCCCCTTCCTTCCTTTTATTCTTTTGAGACAGGGTCTCAACTCTGTGACCCAGGGTGGAGTGCAGTGGCATGATCTTGGCTCACCTCTACCTCCTGGGCTCAAGTGATCCTCCCACCTCAGCCTCCCAAGTAACTGGGACCACAGGAATGCACTGCCACACCTGGCTAATTTTTGTATTTTTTGTAGAGATGGAATCTCACCATGTTGCCCATGCTGGTCTTGAACTTCTGGGTTCAAGCAATCCTCCCGCTGAGGCCTCCCAAAGTGCTGGGATTACAGGTGTTAGCACCTGGCCCAGCAATTTTCAAGTATACAATACATTGTTATTAACTGAAGATACCATGTTGTACAATAGATCTCTTGAACTTACTTCTTCTAATAAAAAATTTTGTCTCATTTGAACAACATCTCCCCAAACCTTCCCATAGAAATCTCCTGTGTATTCTATTTTCTGCTCATTGTCTCCTGCGTCCTCTCAGCTAGAATGCAAGCCCCTTAAGGGTGGGGATCTTTGGGTTGTGTTCACTAATGTATCACAGTGTGGAACAGTGCCTATCACATAGTAGGTACTCACTAAATATTTGTAGATTGAGTAAATTGGTAGGTTACGGGCCTGAGACTTAGCCAGCTTTGCTTTATGGGGAATTATG